TAGTAACATTGATGGCAACTGGACGTCCAGTTGCCATTAATGTTACTATTTTTGAACTCATTTGACCCTATCTTTATCCTGCCGCCTGCAGAGTAACGCCAGCAAAGACCATTAACAAAATGAGGAAAATCCAAAGTTTCCAAAATTAAGAACAGTTGCCACTTGCATGGACAAATATTTTCCAGATAAAATTAAGCCACGTTTAAGGATTTCTTTAACAAAACATTTTTCAAAATTAAGATCAAATTTTGAAAAAAAAAACAAAAAAAAACCCAGGTCCACCACCTCCAGTGGTGCCTGGTTACCACTGACTAAGTCAGTACCAACCAACCCTAGTTACCAGGCTCCACATGATCCCGTTGTAACTTTATTATATGTCTATATTTCTGGTATTTTGTTTATCTGTGGTGTTTTTTTAGGGAAAAGGTTGACTGGTTCTTTACATTGTAATTAAAGCACTGCCTCACAAACACAGAGATTTATTGATCACTAGGTGGCGCTCCATCCACTTCATAAACACACAGACATTATCTTCCCATATATGATAATAGGTCAACACTGTGTGGGTGAAAAGAGCAATCTGAACTGTGTGGCCTTGGCGGTGACAAGCAGCAAAGATAAGGACATGACCTCATGACCTCAAGTACTCCTGTAGTGTGTGCTGTCATCTCGTTAATAATCACAGTGCTCACCATTTTTGGTCAACACCCCAATATTTGTAATTTGACCAAAAGAAACGAGCGCAAAAGCAGTAACGTTATTTTCGTTTGGGGACATACGATACGGTGAGGGCGAAATACGAAATGTATCTGGAGCAGTTTAGGAGGAGCACCGCAGAGAGGAGGCAGAGAGGAGAGCAGTTTCAGGTTGACCGCAGGTGTCTCCTCCCCTCCCCCTGGTTTTGAGGACAATGAGATGGGAGAGAGAGAGAGAGAGAGAGAGAGAGATGAGAAAGTGTGAGACGGTGAGATAAGGGCGACCAGCGGTTTAGGCTTTCTCCTCATCACAGGAGCTCTCACTCAGATGAGCACTTTGGCACGGCGGTTTCTGTTTCTCCCACTGGCACATGGCGTTGGCGTAACCCACGATCACTTTGTCCATCCACGTGAGCGGCTGGGGAAAGAGCACGGCGCCCTCGAAAAAGCCCAGGTGGCCGCCGTGTAACGTCAGGGCAAAGACCACGTTGGACTTCTTTGCTGAAGAGGTGAAAACAGTAAATGACAGTTAGACTCCTCTGCTGTGAACGCTGTCTCTGGTCTGGACTTCCTGTTGGGCTCTGACTGAACGTCTGGGTAAAGTTTATACCAGAGGAACAGACCCAACGAACGTCAGTAAGAGAAACGTGGGCCACGTTCACAGAGGTGTGAATGATTGATTATGAATGGAATGTGACTGACACAAAGCATGCAGTGTTTATGAGAGCGCTACAAATGTCAGTGAGTCAATTTGTCAATCAATTTGATTGCTTCGTCATCAACCACAAAACCCTCACGCTCACTGCTAATCACCAGCAAAACTGCAAACTTTTTTTTTGCAGACTTCAGTGGTGTCTTCCATGTTCGTTTTGTCCATTGTTTACATTTGATCTTGCTCTGTTCTGCCCCCTGTGGCGCGGAATGGTAACATCTGGATCATTTTATTAGAAATGATAGTTACCTACAAGTAAGTGTGGCACTTACTGAAAATGCTTGATAAAGAGAAAATTAGGAACAAAACGTTAGCCGAACATGTCGACCTGTTACGTTTGCGTTAACTAAACCCATCTTCCAACAAAGCTAATTTAAAAAAACATTTATGTTTTTCCTCGCAGTCTTTAAACAGTACCAGTGCTTCAGGAGCTTCTGTGTCCGGTGGGTTCTGGTAGACTTGAGTTACTGTATCATGTTCAACGGTAAAAGGACAGATGATCCTCTAAGTGCCCCTCGAGAGACACATGTCAAACAGAATGGCCTGTGCCTCCACTCAGGACTCATCCACCTGACAAACCCACTCAGATCAGAGACTAAATCAGAGCTGAACTGATGTTCTACACTTGTACTTCACGTGCACTTCAACGTTTATATTTTAAACTGTTGAAGTCGAGGTCTGTCAGTTCTTCACGAGTGTAATATTTATATTTACTTTATTTGAGTAAAAAAAAAAATTTATATTTTGGGCGGATTAATATTTCTGTTTTTCAGTGCTCATGATTCTATTTCTTACTGTTTGTTTCTCAGAGTTTATAGTTCTGTTCATCATTGTTTCTATTCCCATTCTCACTATTTATATTTCTGTTTTTCTGCTTTTGTATTTATATTTTTCAATGTTTTCTTTTTCTGATTTCTGAGTGTATTTCTATTTTTGCAATTTATATTTTCATTTTTTTAAATTTTATATTTATAAATGTTTCCATTTCTTATTTCAGTGTTGACATTTCTGTTTTTCATTGTTTATATTTCTATGTTCACTGTTTACATTAGTGTTTTTCCATGTTTATACAACTGTTTTTGAGCGTTTATATTTTTATGTTCAGTGTTTATGTTGCTGTTATACAGTTTATATATTTTTACATTTTTGTTTTTTTTGGTGGTGTAGTGTCTTTGGAGAGACATTTATAACATTCTCTCTTTAGCGAAGCTGAAAACATACGTACATGCTAGTGTGTGAGGGATTTTCAGCAGGGAGTTATGAACCAGAGGATCATCTGCAGAGTTCACCAGCAGCAGTGGCACATTCACCTGAGAAGAAATGACTGCATCAAAAAAAAACAAACAGATAAAACAGTATAACTTGTGAGGTTAAAGTAACAGATGCAGTTCTTACATTGTGTATATAATGAACACAACTCTCCTTTTCATAATACTCTTTGAGTGAGCTGTGGCCGTGGAATTTTCTATTAAGAAATTAGATTTAAAAAAAGGAAGACATGATTTTATAACGTCATATTTTCCACATCTGTCAACAATCAATGCAGGGACGGACTGTGCTGTACCTCATGATGGTGTCATCGATCTGCATGATCGACGTGGCTGTGTAGAGTCGCCCGATATCTGCATCTATAGTCTTGTCGGAGATTCCTCCAAAGAGACTGTGTCTGTTGAAATCAGAACAGTGTGAAAAACAGTCCTCGTCGTCCAGTGTGTTGACTTCACTGTGAGCTTGAAAAGGAACTTCATCAGTCTTTCAAGCTCAAAGAAGAAGTCCAGAACTCTATGGATCACATGACCTGGATGAATGAGAATCTTAACAGACTACTAAACCTCATTTCCTACATTCTAAATTTGCCTTAACAACAGGACTACTACAGACTACAGTCTTTGTAATTTAAATCTGTAACTGAGACAGATTGAATGTGGACATCAGGAGGATGTGGCGTGTTTGGTACAACATTAGATAAACAGCTGTGTAAACACAGAGCAGTTGGCTCTGTTTCCCAGATTGGCTGAATTACAAAAAAAATGTTATGAAAGACATCGTGTTCCAGCAGTTGATGCTGCTGTACCTGTGTGAAAGAATGATTTTCTTCATGTTGTCAGCCATGAGAAAGTTATAGAAGCGCCGGAACTGATCCCACTGTAGGAATGTCTCCTGGGCTCTGAGACAGAGACACACAGAGAGAGAAAGAGAGAGAGAGACAAGACGTGAGCTGTGTTAGCTAATTTTAGCTGCAAACAAATCACGTTTCCATTGTACTTTCTTCATTTAAAGATACTTTGTTCATCTTTCAGACTGACACCAAGAATGTATGAAATGCAGAAAAAAAAGCAGTCCCTTTTCAGATTGGGATTAATGGAACAATCCTTTGGCCATGACTCAGACCTGTTAAACCAAACTCATACGTGAACACGCTCTGCGTATAGAGCCAACACCCAACCTTCAGATGGGCTTGGAAGAAATGAGTCTGTCATATCTACCAAGAGACACTGGTTGAATTGAAGAAGAAAAAAAAAAGGTGTGACTCTGAACGTATGACTGAAGGCCATTCTACCTCCAACGTCATGTATGCATTCAAAGATTAAAACAACACGACACTGCCCTTTATAGTCCCATAAATGTGACTGTGTATCTTTTTATGGCCACATTAAGCAAGGAAACGCTTTCTTTATATTTGTCCAGTGGAATTTTTGTGGCAGAGATATTAGAATATATATGACTAAATGACTGTGTTAATTATTTTTTATGTTTAATTTTCCAATTGTGTTTAACTCAAATACCAGATTAAGCTCATCTTTCAGGACTGTAACTGACCGGAGATCAGTGAATCACCACTGATCAGGCCCTTTCTTCTGACCTCTAGTGGCAGCCAATGCAGTCTGTGCACTTATACAGGGGTTCAGGGCAAAATTAGGATGTGTTTTTTTTTTTCAGTATTCAGTTCATCACCCGAGGGAAAAACACTCATCAGAATCAGGAATCAGAGTGGTAAACTTCAATGCACAAGCATTAGCCACTGCAGGCCAGGAATCAGACTGGTAAACTTCAATGCACAAGCATTAGCCTGCATTTCCACTCATGGCCTACAGGGGTTTACTCCAAAAACATATTTGGCATCCATTCAAAAATCACAAACTTCTATAATGAAATCCTGCCATAAATGGAAAAATCATGTATTTGGTTAACGAGCAAAATACGTTGAGGAACAAACAAGGAACTAACAAAAAGTTGACATGAGCACATTTGACTCAGACGCCGACGATGTCTTGGAAAATTCATGAGATCTGCCGCAGTTTCAATTTCATCACCGACGTCACGAGGCATTTAATCAGATGTTTATCAGTTGATATAGTGATAAAGTTCCAGTGTGACCACTGGGGCTTATACAACAGACCAAACTGAAGACTTCATCTCTGTTTTAGCCTAACCATGACATTTTGTTCCACTGTGAAAATGTTATCAAATATGTGTTCAGTGTTAGTGGCACTTTGGCCCAGAGGCAATGTCTCTGTCAGTGGTGTGGAACCTCAGGGTTCACCTCCTGGGTAACGGATACGTGGATGAAAATGGATGGATGGATGGATGTTCAGTGTTAGTGAAACACAGCATTTGCTGATGTTGAACTCAGCGAGGAACTCACCTGAGAGCACTGTAACCCTGACAGACGCTGACACAGCACAGCACTCGCTCCTGGTTGGTCCTGTTCTCCCCCAGGAACTTGCAGACGATGTTTCCACCCAGACTGAAGCCGACCACGATCAGCTGCGTCTCGGGATACGCCCTCTTGATGTAACCCACCATGGCTGCGAACTCCCACGTGCATCCTGTCAGACACACCGCAGGGCAGACTGAACCAATGGACAAAGACTGACACCTCTGCCCGACGACACGCTCGTCTCTGAGCTGAGCTGAAGCTGAAGCTGCCTTTAGTTCAGGACTGAATTTATTTATATTATACAGTATATATACTGTGTATATGTGTGTATATATATATATATATATATGTATATATGTATATATATATATATATATATAAACCCCTGCTAAATATAGTAAAGAATACATTTATATGTCCAAATATTTCCAGAACATTTTGAGCCACTTATCTATCTTATCTGAATTTAATTAGTAAATGGTAAAAATGTATTAAATTTTAACACATTTTTATAAAGAAGATTTCTAGATAGGGTTGTTTGTTTAGGCAACAATGGTTGGAACCCACAATCCTTCTCCATCTCTTCAGAGATGGAACATTGCAAACACAGTTCAAGGCCTTGGGGGCTGCTCGGTCTTACCATACGTGAACATTCGGGGTGATGTGAGTTCAATGTTTGGCAGCGCTCCCAGGTGGTTTAGCACAGCACAGCGATAGCCTTCTTTCTGCGCATAATCCACAAACGTTCGGATGTAGTGCTTCTCACTGTGGTTTCCAATCCCGGGACATATCACCATGGTGATGTCGTCTGATAAAACAGGCAGATGGATTGTGGGGAAGTATTAGTACAGAGTATTCCTGTCTCCTGCACCGAGACGTGTCAGTGTAACCCATGCAAAAACAAGGAGTTTGTCTTCAATCTCACTCGAAGATTATAAAACAAGATTATGAGATTAAAGTCCTCCTCACCTCCTGTTCGATGGTTCCCCACTGGCTCAAAGAGGTCAAATGTTGCAGTTGCCCCATCCAGCATGGGCAAATACTTCCTGACACCGTTGGGGTGAGGTGAACTCACCCGACCGAGTTTACCGTACAGTGCTGTTTGGAGGTGACCACTTTTACCCCACAGCAGAGGAGGAATGTATCTGTTAGAAGAACATAAAACATGAGATTAATGTTAATCTTCAGAAATGTTTGTTTTTTATCACCAGGAGAGAGATAAGGGACAGAATTATCTGTATTTATTAGCCAATCCTTGAAAACCCTCCAGCAATCTGTAATGTGGTGGTTTTATTTCAATTTTAATTCCATTTTTTTAAAACGGTAAAGTGCATTGAGACAAATGTGTTTTGTGAATTTTTGCTTTTCAAATAAAACTGACTCAATTTGACTTGACATTTGATAAAGAGCCAAAAGGAACAAGTGGTCAGACCACAAAAAAAAACATGTTGGCGTTGAGATGTTAAATATTGGAGAAGACACATTTGACCTACAGACAGTTTAGAACTCAGAGGTGGGAGTAAAATGCTGCGAGGAAGCTTTAGTTCAGCTGGAGACTGGAAGGAACTGTAATGGAAAAAACATTTTTAAAAATCGATGTTGCCATATATTGGGTGTTCAAGGGGGCCAAATACTTTCGCAAGGCACTGTATTTTCCATCCCACTGTAAAACATCTGCATGTGTATTTGAATTAGCGGAACAGTAGGAGTCAAGTCCTTGGATAATGTTATACTGAATGTTTTATGTTGTGCTTTGCCATGAAACTCCATCTGAACAGACGTGTCCCGTTAATGTAGCTGTTATTCAAATCACGCCGAGCAGTAAAAGCTGAAGGACTAACTGTTCACTTTTTATACAGTATTAAATTTAAATATTCAAATAAAAACTCCAACTTCTGACGAAGCTCCTGGAGGATAAACATGTCTTCAGTGTTCACTCGCTGGCTTTATTACGTCATGTTTTATCAGTGTCTTTTTATTGTTTGGCTTGTTACAGTGAAGAGTGGGAGGTAATGAGATGAACTACAGACGCTGAGCAGAGGTGTACAGTAACTCCAGCAGTGTGTGTGTGTGTGTGTGTGTGTACAATACAGTACAGTATAGTAAGTAACTGCAAAGAAGACAAAGTTCAGGTTCAGGTACAGTCACTCAAGGACTTTGATCTTGTGATTCCTCACCTCGCACTATGGCTACAACAATTACTGCTCTGCCTTGTGGCAAAAAAACAACAAAAAAAAACATCATTGCATAAGACTGTAGACAGTGACAAAAGCAGACAGGCTCCACTGAGTGATAATGTAATCATTTCCTGGTATGTACTCCAAGGGCAGCTGAAGATTAACCTGGCTTTTCTTAATGATACTCTGAAGTATGCGGACCTAAGTATAGGAAGGAGTAGGAGGGAGTTATTGTCATGATGGAATAAATGCTAAATACTTTGCAAAAGATGAGTAAGTCCAACAATCTAAACTCACTCAGCCAAACGCTAAAACTACATTTTTGAAAATCAATTGAAAAAAATCCTTGTTTTTTATTTAAGATTTTGACGTCTCTGTCATCGATCTATATGGGAGGCTCTTTCCCGGCAGATTGATGTTCTGAAATAAAAAAAACACCAAGGCCACATAAAACTAATGCATAAACTATGTTAATTATTTTACAAAATTATTCAGATCAACAATTTTGAATGCATTTTATTTTTTTGTACTCCACTGTTCCTCCTCTTGTTGTTTGTCTGATACACAGTCGTTACACATGTTATTCAAACACATTGTAGGAAAACTTCATTCTTGCAATACCATTTTTGTGGCGCCTCTGAGCTCAGGACAGTAAATAAGTCTTTGACTGACAGTTATCAAAAGGATTGTGAGAAACTGGAGACGGGTTAACGTGGTTGAGGACAAAGACTTCAGTGAAGTTCTCAAAGCAACTCTCGACACGTTCTAGAAACCACAGTGAAGATGAACAACAATGACTAAAATCCACTCAATCACACAACATTTTTCCATATTAATAATTCCATCAATTGGAATGGTCACAAATAAAAACAAAATTGATCGCGATGACACATCTTCCATGTGTTTATTTTCCATCATTTGACGGCCCAAACTAATATATTCATAAACTGTTGTTTAAAACAAACAGTTTAAACGGTTTTTAAATAAACCTCTACACCACAGACCACACGATGGCAACACAACAGAGACTTACATTAACTTGTCTTTCCTTCTTCCTCTTTAAATCTAAAGTAACTACACAACATTTGGTGCTTATTCAAATCAGCCATATGGAATGTGTATATTTTGAAAACATGGCCAAAAAAGCTTATGTAACAGTTCAAACCCTCCTACTATGGATTCCACTCTGCAATTGATCTGTTCTGTTCTGTTATGTAACACCACGTGGTGCAACCGTGCAATACAAACGTGATCTTAGAAAGACACTGAAAAATACACCATATACTACACCATCAAAACTGATGAGCTCCATTCATCCCAGTTTACACTGGAACACATGTTTAGTTCAGATGTGTAAGATTAACAAACAGTACCAGGACCAGGTGGAGGTTTAAACACAGTAAAACCAAGACCAAGATCACAAGTTTTCTTGTAATCTTAGTCATTTTAAGAGAAAGGAAGAAAATTTCAGACATTTCAGACGACCCCATTTATATTTCAGATGCCTCCAAGTAGCCCCCCCCACCCCCACCCCAGGGTCCCACAGTTGCCCTTTTTCCCTGAGGGACAATTTGATTGACAAACAAAAAGCTGAATATTGAACTCACTCTTTGGTTAGTAGAGGACAGGACTTGAGCAGGAACCGGTTGAGTGGCATGTCCTGGAAGGTGAGCTCTGGCGGTGCAGTTGGACTCTTTAGGTTCAAGCAGCGGACGACGACGTAGAGAACGGTGGCCACCACTGCCAGCTTCATGCCATCAAACATGGCTGGCAGCTCCGGAGAGAAGGTGTGCACATCTGACTCGTGGGTGCTCATGATTACTCTGAGAAAAAAAAAAAAAAAAAAACACTGTGTCAGTGTCTGCGTCTTTGGCCTCCTGTGTCTGTCTGTGTGTTTTACATCTATTTATTTAATTACACTGTACTGGGAGTTCTTAGACTGTCAATGAAACAATATTGATGAAGAGTACTTTGAACTGATTTAAGTAGCCAAATAAATACTGCGGGAGTGGTACTTACATTTGTTGTTCAGACTAGCCTCCAAATGTTGATTTGTGTGTAGTCACAGTGATGGGGTCAGATCTAAGGGAAAAAGAAAAAAGAAGAAAAAGACTATTCCAATCTGTATTATTCTTTACTCGCAGAAACCTCAGCAAAACCAGAGATTCCACTGGAGTGTTTTCAACACTGATTTTATGTTTCGTCTAGAAACGTCAGGTGTTTTTTTGTTCTGTCTGAACATGAGCAAAAAAAAAAAATCAAGAAAGACTTATCATTTATTATCATACATAGCACTTTACCCCTTATTTATTATCATACATAGCACTTTACCCATGCATAAAGATAGTTAAAAGTTGTTACTCACTGCATTTATAGCTTAAAAAAATGAGTTTATTCTTATTATCACTACAAAAATAAAATAAACTGCAGATATTGTTGTTTTGTTACACAATCCGTTTGCTAAAGCTTTTATTTGTCAAAAAGTTGGGTGTAAAAGGAACCCATTTTCATTTAGTACGTCATTAAAGTCACCAAGTGCTTTATTTTGAAAGTTGTCCAACTGAAGAAACAACCTGTGACTGAGTGCAGTTTGTGGGAACAAAAAAAAACTGACTATCTACTTAGCAACACAGTTATATGATTTTTGTAAAGAAGTTCGTATTCATGGTTATTAATCAAATTTAACTTTAACGTAGTTAAACCTTTTGTTTTAATATACTGTATATCAGATAAGGATTTAATACAAAATCTGACACAATACGAGTTTAAAAAACACTGACGCTCCTGCCAAAAAGATAAATAAAAACCACATGACCATATTTCTGTTTCCGCTATTTACATCAGACACGAGAGTTGTAAATATATTTAGCCACATACGTTTGAATTGAATAAAATAAACGGACCCATTAACACAGCAAACACCACTCTTAATAAACAACCCCGTGAATATGACAGCCGTGTGGTGCAAATGTCAAAACAAAGAGTTGGCCATTTAACTACCAGCCAGAGAATCCTCCACATTAGCTCCTGTTAGCTCTTTTCCCCATTGTCACGACTCGGCAGCTGAGCAGAGGAGGCGTGTACGGCTACAAGGACACACAATGTCCTATTTCGGGTTGTGAGCCGGCAGTAAAATACGGCGATAAAGATGGCTTTATATGGCCGAATAAACGTATGAAGACGGGTTCGCTAGCCAGTCAGTGCCGTCATGTGTATCGAAAAAGGGCGACCATCCGTTAGGGAAAGCAAAATTTACACACAAAAAATATATTAAATCGTATCGACTTTCCGCCCAGGTGCTCGTACTGTAGACTTTGTTACTATAAAACAATACTTTTGTATTTTTGTCGTGAAAAGACATTTGGTTTTTAATCACATTTATGTACATAAAAAAAAATCCACAGTGGGAACACCGGTGGAACAGTGTAACATCAGCGCAGGGGCGTAGATACAAGGGAGGCGGCCGGTAGAAAAAGGGCACCCAAGTGTAGAAATGATATGTATATACCGCTCATAACTATAGGACATATTAGTAAGAAATGGGCATAGCTACTTTTAAAGTAGTATTAAATGTGAGAGAAACGGTGACATGACAACGAACAACAAGGTAAACCATGAAAATCAAGACAGTCTGAATCAAAACAAATAAAAAGAAACTAGCCTACATGACTGACTACTTAGTAGCCGAGCTGTCAGTAGTTGTAAGTCAAAAGTAATCAGGGCAGCCTAGAATAGACTTGTAGGAATTCCAAGGTTATTTTTACAGCGACAATATATTTGAAAGTTAAGGGAACAGTTAAGCTAAATCTTTCAGTGTCAATTGAAATTTTCCAAGCGGAAAAAAAAATAAAAAGATAAATAAAGTCTGCTTAAAAAATATTGTCTTTTATATGTATGGTTCCATTTGGAGAAACATATAGCATACCAGCAGGCATGCACCAGCAAATACAGTATATACACACACAGTATATA